CCATCATCAACCACATAGACCTACCCTCAAAACCACGGCCTCAACGGTTTTTTACCGCTTCCACCTCCTTCTTTGCTGTGTGTGTGTGTGCGCGCGCAAGAACTGCATGCAGCATGCAGCTGCTGAAAAAGCATCTGAAACCCTGATAGCATCATCACACAGGAAAGAAGCTAGAGAGCTAGACACTAGCTTGCGTTGCTAAATTTGGAGGAAAGGGGAGAAGTGAAGTTGAGTGCTGCATAAAATCTGTCTTATTGTGGAAAAAACAGATGTTCCGTGAGCATGGGAACCCATCAAACCTCTTCACTGTGGCTTTTTTTGTTGAGGGCAGGATCGCAACATGTCCTTATCCAAAGTTTATCACTACTAATTAGCAACGGCGGGTGTGTAATGTGTGTAACTGAATATACACACAAAGGCTTTATGAACGTATGATAGGGCGGGTGGAAGACTCAGCTATGTAGACATGTATTCACTCCCAACGTTTAGACACTAAAAATAACATCTGGTGATACGTCTACCCCCTTTTTATGATTTCTGATTTATTTGTATTCGAAGCAGGTGTCTGAGGCAATGGCATATTTTTGTTTCTTGATTATTGGTATTTCAGTAAAAAAAAAAAAAGAAGCAAGCATTCTTTTTTTTTGTTTCAGTATACATTTTAGTTGTAAATGACATAATATTCAGGAAGACCACACTGCACAAGAAATGATGCACCCTGAAGCAAGTGGTGTTTTCTGTCTCCAAGAGCTTTGTTGAATCAGAAGAGCCGACTCCAATCGAATGAGAGCATTTATACTTTCATATATGTCAATGCGGCAACTGGCTCTTTTACGTTTCAGTTAAAGATATTATATAATTAGAATTTGTTGTTTGACACTGTACACATGAACTAGGACAAGATAATATATATGATACTAAATTATTCTCGTTATTATGGTTGTTTTAGGTAGATTTGTTTGCAGTGTTTTGTTCTCTTGTTTTTGAGCTCAATAAAAATCCAAAGTTTGATAAAATTATTACACAAAAGTTAAAGAATGCCTGCTTTCATAACAGAACAAATACACAGAATTAGGCAGGTATAAGGCTTTCAAAAACACTAAATGCAAAAGGATTTATTATCATAAATCACCTTCTTATTTGCCAAGTTAAGCTAAAATATGAGGCTGTAGATGACAAAATATTATGAACCGTTCAGTAGCCAAACGGTCCCTTTACTAACCTGCATACACCACAAATACAGGTTTTTTGTGGAGCTATGAATTACATCACAATCTTTGCATTTAACACTTTTTACAGTTCCTTGGAAGAAATGTTACGAGGGGTGTATTATGTAGAACAACTTTTTTTTTTATAGCTTTATATAATGTTATGTTTTTCTCTCATCAAAAGAAAATACCTAGCGGGTTGCTCTGATTCTGTTATTGAGGAAAGCTTGAATCTCCTGTGGCAGCCATTCGGAGCTGCCTAAATGCTTGCTCCCACAAAGTGGTGCATATATCCTCAAAGTTCCTCCTTGTAGCTGCAGTTTCAGCTGAGCTTCCGCCTCACAGAGCTCCCATTCCTTCCCTACACGGTTCCACTAGACTAGCGGCAGCAGATCTACGCATCTGCTTGAACTACCTCTCAGTTCAACGCTTTGTGTTCATTTACAAATTAGTTACATTCTGGGGTATTAAAGGGTGAATATTCATACAATGCACAGTTATGCATTAAACTTTGTGATTTCCATTAGACAAAGAAAGAACACATATTGAAGAGCCTTTAAATGCCACACTCTACATTTCCATATTTATTTAGTGGGCCCCAAACAAATTTAGCTTCTCCTCCTTCAGGGAGTCCTGATCACCTAAACTAAAAATACCACAAGTGTTAAAGATTAAATTGAAAATACATTCAATATGAAACGTGGCTAAATGTATGTGATCCATAAAATAAATACAAGGAAGGGAAATATGTATATGGATAAACAATAGAGTACAGAACTATGCCAGTGTATTCCACCACATTTCCTTATAGCTAAGTAAAACTTTCAGTCTAGTTTTAGGAGTCCTTGAAAGCATGAGAAAGGAAAGTTTCTGAAATTTTAAGTTTTGCCTCTATAAAGAGAAAGTCCCTTCATCCTAACTTTTCAGTAATAATTCCCAAGGCAAGAGATGCATATCTTCTCATAATCTGGTTTACCAATCATCTAATCTAATGTGCTGTGAGTGAACTTTGTTCACACCCCAAATCTTCTATCCCTGTCCCCTCTCCCATGCTCCCCCTTCCCCTTCTCTCTGACTCCACTCCTTTCATCACTCCACATCCGCAGGGGAGATGTAAAGCTTTTGGAGTAAATCAAGGCTCTCTCCTTCATAAACGCCTGTGCAATTAACTTAGCTCTTTCTCCCTCTGATTTACGGCGACCATGTTGGGGACTGGAGTCGGTCACAGGCCCTCTGGGTTTCAAAAGAAAAGACTCATTGGCTAACTTCCCTCACACTCTTTCGGAAACACACACTTGTGCACACGCATTCACATATGGAACCGCAAAAATTGCTCGCACATACGCAGACTCATTCACATCTGCTGCTCTGAAAAGAAAATGATGAGTGAAAGGAATAAAAGGGCAATGAGCGAAACAATGTGGCCTAATGACAGAGGAGTTGTTGACTGGAAGCCGCTGCTTCAATTCATCTGACATTGCGTCTTGCAAAAAAAAAAAAAACGTAATTCACAAAACACTCATGTAAGCTATAAATTGAATCCATCTACAGCACTTGTGTAAAATAATAATAATAATTAAAAAAAACATGTTTTTATATCCCAATATAAAACTCAGCATGATGTAATTATATATATTTTTTTAATTGACATCAAATGTTCACATTTTAGGATCAATACTTTCAAAACACTCGGTGTCTAAATGTTATGAAAATGACAACCAATACATAAAGTTTTTTGATTCTCATTGTGGTGCATGGAAATGTTATGTTACGTCAACTGGTATCCCTTTCCTAACTAACTTAATGCACTTGCTTTCATTCAAAAATATCACAGTCGTTAAGAAAAGTAGGCATAAATGTGACGATGTCAGCCGAAGTGAAAGAGGAAAGAGATACTCAAATGTCTTACACGTGTTGCACAACTCTGCATGCTGAGTGGAGAACACCTGTAGTTTTGGTGGTTTTATTTCTTGAACTGGAACCAACTATATGGGTGTTTTGGACTTTGAAGTTTTCCACGGTATTATCACCCTTCTCTAAGCAAGTTCAGTAAGACTATTTGTAGGTATACGGGGGCGGGAGTTTTGCAGAAATGATTGCTTTTCTTTTTTTTTTACTGTAAGGTATAACCTCAGATGTTTCATCCACCAACAGTAGTACACTTTTCCTCTGATTGTTCATAACTTTAAGTTACCTTTTATTATAAAAAGAAAAAAAAAATGTAGCAAATGTTCATCCATTTTTATGTTATATAAAACTATCAATATGTTCAATGAAAACAAAAATGAGCAAAACATGACACTATACTTAGTAATAAGGGGGAAAAAATAGCCGAATGAGGCTGTGGGCAGTGGGATTAAGGTGAGCTTGTTGAGAAGACGATGTTTCTGAAACAGCTTGTCTCACTTCTGAGAGAAGTACAGCAGAGTGTTGTGCTGAAGTGTACTTGAGCAAAAATATTAACATATACCACACATTATGTCACTTAAAGTGTTGCAATAGATCTTTGACCGATTAAAGAGCTGCTTCAAAATGTGACTGAAAGTACCACAGTTCATTATACAGGTACTATTTGCCACATCATAGAATATAGAATCACTCATACTTTCCAGGTGACAGTAGTTTGGTTTTCTAAAATTAATTAGTTATTCAAGCCCACATATCCTATCTTAATGTATTCTTTGCATTTTTTCATGTAACTAGTATAACTGCTTGTGCTTACTAGTTTAGTAAAAAATAGAGGGGAGTGCAGACAGTGACAGATTTCTGATTTTGTATGCTGCATTTCTTTTTTTTTTTTTGTTCAGATCCTTTGTGTTCTGTTTTTAGAGAAGCTTCTAAATTTAGCTCAGAAACGTCCGTGATTTTAATCATTTGTTCCCGAACTAGCCTGTAAAGATCAACTTTCACATCCTTCAAAGGATTTGTACTTCAAATGCACCCACAAATCTCCCAGTTTGTCACGTTGCGACTCCCAGAACGTCTCTGATTCTATTTGTGTCTCTATCTATTTACTTAAATGCATTTCAAATGTATTGGCTAAGGCCCCTCCCAAAACCAACCCACATTTCCAAAGCCTGCTGCGCCCCCGACACACACTCTTTCACACACTCTTGCACACACACACACACAGATGCCCCTGAAAAATGCTGTGCCCTGCCCTTGTCTGGTATAGCAGCCTCACACACACTGGCTTCATTCTTCCATGCTATGGACTGAGAAGGCTGATGTGTCTGTGTATTACTGTGTGTTAGAGTGCATCGGTGCATACAGTGTAATGAGCATTGTGGGACGTCTGTTTGCGTGTGTGCGCATGTGGAGTGCAGTGGATTAAAGGAAGCAGTTGTGTGTTTCATGTTTTTTCTAGTGATTACGCTGTTATAGCATTTGTGGTCAAGGCATAGGCTGCAGATGGACTTCATCCAAGCAGAAGGCTAATGTGCACATAAGTATTTGCATGTGACAGACGCAGACAGAGCATGTCGGGATGTGTGCAGGAGTATTCAGGCAGATGACCTTCTTCAACCACCTCTCATCTCCCGACCAATCCAGAACACCTCGATGTGCCCCTCCTCAAACTCTTCCACTCCATCTCACTGTGATCAGGCTTTTACACAGTATTCGTAGTCAACCTGAAAGTAAAACACCCACCATTCCTGGATGTTGGGATCACTACTTTGAAGCTCATGACAGGGTATTTCATTTATTTTCAGCCATGCTTTGAGCTATTTCCAGCTGAGTGTTTGGGGTCATAGTGGTGCATTAGGATTCAAGACATACTTCAAGACTTACACAAACCTGCTCTTCTGACACACCGTAACCAATTGTGTCCTAAAAAGCTTTTTTTTTTTTTTTCATTCTTTTGTCTTTTGTGCGGTGCCTGCAGTGAAACAACCAAGTAGCCATTTAACAATATAGCCTTCTGTTGCATTGTGTTTACAGTTTTGTACTCTTAATAACAATTATTTCTGCTACATGTAACCAGACTGACATCATCCAGTATGAAAGTCATTGATCCCTTTGGGTTTCTTTGTCTGTAAAAAGGTGTTCCAGTAATCTTGAAATAATCTTTAAAATCTATTTTTAGAAGCATAGTCATTCTTGTTAATTTGCCCGTAGATCTCCAGCAGATTATTTGTTGGAACGTGTATGGCAGATAGATAGCTGTCTTTTTTTTTACATAGCATTTAAAGAGTAAGCTTTTAAAACCACTGTCCTTGACTATAACGATCTTCAGTAGAAATGCATGTTTTTTTTTTTTTTGTTTTTTTTTTTTTTGCTAAGGTGCACTAAATGTAGCAATGCCTCACAATGAAAGGAAAGAAAGGGAAAATCCAAAGCAGGATGCTTTTGCTACAGCAACAAGAGAAGTAGAAGAAAATATGCAATTTTCCAGCACTTTTTAAAAGATGTTTAAAAATCTTTAAAATAGTTTTTTGCAGTACCCTAATTTAAGTGTTCTATTCATGAAAACCAAAAACACTTAATTTAAGTATATTCATGCTCTGGTGAAAAAATCTATTACATTTTAATTGTAAATATACACAAATATGACATATGACCTGTTGTCCAAAATGATAAAGTCAAGTGAGATATGCTGAGTGTGTTGATCTTCATTAATTGAAACAAAATATGAATACAAGATAATTTTTTCTCACCTTAGGTCCTACATTTATACACTCTGAGCTATAATTTAATAATAATTTTAAAAAAATTAATTCAAAACAAAAAAAAAAAAGAACAAGAACTAACAAACATGGCTGGATGCAGGCACAAGTTCACATTTCCACCACACACATTGAGGAGGATGGTACGGAAACTATAATCAAAATATAGTGATATAACTACTGCATTTTTTTTAAATGTGTGGGGACTGATTTTACTTTTTTTTTTTACATATCGTGATCAAGAATGGCAAAAATATGCAGAATGTTGTAGCATAAAGGTTATAAAATATAAAACAAGATTTTAAAAAAAAAATTACATACAGATTAAGAAGCAGAAAGTAAGTGTTTTGTTTTCTTTACTTTTTCACGTGTTTGTTTTTGCACTTTATATGTACTGTCATTCAAACTGTATTATTTTCCATGCCCTGTTTGTTTTGCTTTCTTTAAAATGTAACAAAATGACTTTGCTCTGTGGATGGCAGGACTAGTGAAGGCATTTACATAACAAACTAAAATGTACCATGATGTGCCCTGACATGCTTAAACCCTAAACCTAAAGCTACCCTTGGCTTTCTCTTTTCTTCCACCACTTGGGCACTAAATCAGAGAGACAGAAACATAACAGCAGCTTACCTTGGTGTCAGCCCAAGGCACCAAGCGCTTTCTCCCCTCCCTACATCTTCACTTTGTAGCCCCTGCCAAACACTGTCACCCCAAATCTCCCACTAACCCGCCTCCTTATGCCAGCAGTGCTCACAAGGCGACCACAGTGGCATGGCGGAGCCACACGGCACCATCTGCTTCAGCAGGACACGTGGTGGAGGGAAAGGATGGGCTTCCTGCATGTGCACTATCCCCTCAACCTTCTTTATCCAAATCCTTCTCCCTCTTTGCCGCAGACCCAAACCCCCCAACCTCCTCCACTTTCTGCCCTCCCTCTCAAAAAAAAAAAAAATCCTGCTGATAATTTTTAAGGAATGAAGAGTCCCTCTGTGGTTGGATTTATGAACTCTTGTTGTAGTCATAGCAACCAGCTGCAACTTGTATTTTAGGAGGGGAACAGGGCGGAGTGAAAGGGATTTTGGGTGGGGAGAGTGGTAGTGAAATCATTGTGTGTGTGTGTGTGTGCGTGTGTGTGTTTTCATGGTGTTGGTAATGTTGTTGGGGGAGTCCTGAGGAGAAAGAAGAGGCATTGTTGTGTTGGCATTCAATGTGTCAGCAAACCAGAGTAATTGCTTGGTCTTTATAAAAGGAGATGAGCTAAAAGCTTGAATGTGTGAGATGCATTTTTTTTAAATAAAAGCTCCCATAATCGAGGATAAAGGGAATAAACACTGAATATTAATTTAGTCTCTTCTAGAGGGAAATAATGAAGGGGTCAATTCAATATGGAAGCATGGGAGGCAAATGTTATTTCTAGCTGTCCCTTCACAATACATTTTAGGTGCAAAGAACTTTTTATGTTTACCTCACGCTAGCACCTCCATATCATTTGCCACGTGCAAATTCAAGAAACATTCTGCGTGTGATCTGTTCACTGTCTCACTGGCTGTGTTTCTGCAGCTCACTCTGGGATGTATATATCTAGCTTTTAGCTTCTTATCAAGCTCTTGCAGCGTTCCCCGTGAAGCTCAAACTCAACCACTATGCAGACATACTTGCTGTGAAAAAAGAGAGAAAGAGTAGAGAAATAGGAAGGGAGGGAAAAAGAAAAAAAAAAGAAAAAAAAAACTCCTGACACCTCAGACTCCACTTCACAGCCAGTGAAGGAAGAAAGTGAGCAAGCCGCTAAGCCTTTCCTCCCCACAGCCGCCTGCAAGGTGAAGATATTGCTGCTCACATTTTGGACAGATGCGGAGATCCTTTTGCATTGTGTGTGTGCATATGTGTGTTTACTTCAGATCTTCAGCTGTGTAGCTGAGAATTTTATGTCTTTATTGTCTACGATTGTTTAATTCCGATAGTGTGGTTTTTTTGTTGGAAGCAAAATATTCAAAACAAAATTTTGAATGTTTTGTTCCTCTTGAGTGAGGTTTCAATTTGCACACCGTTGCAGGCAACTAAAAATTATGTCAACATTAAGGGAGAATTGGACACTTGCTGAGAACAATAGATGCTTGCTGAGGTCTATGTATCCCAAATGGCCAATTTTGAGAGCCTATAAATGGTTTTGTTATGCTCAAATTTCTAATTGCACAGCAGGACTGTTTGAGTGCACGCTATGAAAGGGTCTGTGATTGAGCTGCAAGGGGAATCAAAACAAACATACTGTTAAAAACGGCGGCCCTATTGGGTGTAAAGCTGTGCACTGTGTCAGACAGTAGCAGTATAATCAAACATGACATGATCCTATTGCCCTCCCGATGTCAATCGCTATTGGCAAACACTCAGGATCAGAGTGAGGCCAGGCAAAAGAGAGCATAGTCATTACTGTTTGCAGACTGCAAAAAAAAAAAAAGGATTTAAAAAAACTAAAAGTAAAAATAGCAGATGGAATTACACAAAACGGATAACTTGGAGGAAGTCTTACTGCCTTGTCCAAACCCTAAACTCATGACTTATGCACTTTCATGTCGCATTATATTTAATTATAGATCATGCTGGGGCAGCCCTTAACAGAGTCTGCATGCCTCACAGGTACAAACAGTTGAATAATTCAGCAGTTGGCATGTGGGGTAGGATGTGGTGTGAGTGCAGTGGGAGAAAAAAGCCCGCTGTTATTCAACTCTCAGCTTCATCTTGCTGCGGGACAAAATGGAGATTGAGCGAGGTTAAATATCTGATTTTTACCAGCTTGTCCCAGGCCTGAGCCACCGGAGCTACATGTATCCGGCAGAGGGAAAGCGAGAGAAGAAAAATACATCAATGTTTTGGTTTACACCAGACTGACAGCAGCTGGGTGGTGTTTTATTTTTAATGCCAGTTCATGTCATCGGCAAACCACTTATGTGAGAATCAATCCAAACACAGACCAAGTTATAAAGCACACAGTTATGTCCAGAGTTTTAGACTTTAGCATGTCACAAATGGAGATTTGACTGCTTTCCTTCCTGACCAAATCCATTACCATTATCTGTGGATGCCATATCATCTTAGACTCCCTCCATTAGGTGGGGGAAATTGCAAATGGAGCTTCGTGTAAAAAAGGGAGCCACAGATAAAAGAGAGAGGGAACAGTAAATGTTGGTATTGGTGTTTTATTTTCTTTTATACCTTCTTATTTCAAGGAATTTTCTAGATTTGTGTAAGCCAAATAAAATTAAATCCAGCTGCTGCAATCTAAGTTACAATAGGTGTTGCATGTATGTTTGATGCTTCTTTTTCTGCCTCCTTTAAAAAAAAAAAAAAAAAGACAAAGAATAGACTGCCCAAAATTAGTCTGAAAACTTGATCATTTTACAAAATAACAGTGGGAAAAGGCAAACCTAGAAAAACCTATTGCAGCCCTGTTTGCTACGGCTTTCGCAACATTAAATGCCGAACTGAGGCATAAATTCAGCTGGCGTTCTTTTACAGAGAGACAAAATTGGGGCAGAATGAAAGCTGTCTTTTCCATTCGTCACAGATATAACCAACGTGAATTGGCAGAGGATCGTCAGTGCGACTTACAGAGCTTCTCTTCATTGAATTCTGAACTGAGGGAAAGTATCAGTTTTAGTGTGTGCATTTGTTCACAACAGCCATTAGATTAAATCATACCCACAGATGTTATGGTCAGACGTAAAATCTGACTTTTTTAATAGTTTTATATTCTGAGGCTTACGGTTTGGTAAAGCAGTCATTCAGCTTGAACCTTTCAAGGTTTGTCATACTACACCCACAAACTTCAATGTGTTTTTTACTGAAATTTTATTTGACAGACCAACACAAAGTAGCACATAACTGTAAAATCAAGGGGAAATGAACATTTTATGTGTAAAAATTGAAAATACAGATTTTCAATGCACTTAAAAGTCTGGAATTGAGTTTCAGTGACCAGATCTGGACGAGTATAGAAAATATTTACATTTTTAGATGCATTTTCTTTCTCTCCTCGTGCCTTTGTTTCCTCATTTGCACTATTCACTTATTGGGTTCTTTTTCATTTGTTCGTTCATTCCTTCCTTCCCTCTTTCCTTCCGTTCTTTCTTTCTTCTTTCATTCCTTTTGTTCCTTCCTTCTTTTAGGCTTTTAGGCTAGGATAGATGTCTTTTAGAGGACTGAGGATGTTTGAGAATACAGGCCCCTGATTATTTGACACTGACTCTTGAGGACTGGAGTTACAGACCGCTGTTCATTTTACCAATCCGATAGATATACATAAAAACTGGGTTTGATTAATCCTGTTCTTGTATTGAAAGATTTTCCTTAGCTATTCAGATGTGTGCTCACTGTTTTGATTCAAAAATTGAAACATAAATAAATGCACATATAAAATTTCTACTTGTGCTCATCTAGCACACTAAACTGTAGTCAACGCTGCAAAAAGGTATTGTACTTCTACAGTGCTGGCACACTTTGGGAAAAGACAGGCTATAGACACGATATGAAAAAAAGATGCTTGTAGTTAGATTTTAGTGTTTCCAGCTGCCGTCTCTGCTGACTGTGCTGGGAGGAAGCATTGGATGCACAGCGGGAGACAAAACTGGGTGGAATGTGTTCTGCTCCTCAGTGGTTCCTGCTGAAATTCAACAATGAAAGGGGAACTTTGGGTATCTGTGCCATCATCTTTTCTAGTGTAGTAAGTGCAAGAAGAAAGGATGACTTTGCCTGTGGCTTGTTGGATATAACACTACTCTATTAGTTTAAATCTTTTGGAATTCATTGCGATGTACTAAAAGTAAATTCAGAAAGCATGTGCTTTATTTGAATCAGACCCCAGGGGAGAGATAATAGTCACTTCTGTTTTGGATTATTCCCCCACAAATCTTACTCTTTTACTTTATCACTGAGAATGTATGAGAATGATAGAAAAGTGTCAGAGATTGACCTGTATGCGATAAAACAGAGATTGGTTATGGGACAGATAAAAGGAAAGCCCGGGATGGAGGGAGGGAGTGACTGGGAAAGAACTGTGCATGAGAGAGGAGTGGATGTAAGGAACTGAAAGCATCCGGAATAAATTCCCAGAGATGGCCACGCATGGCTGAGCTGAACTGGCCTGAATCTGGGAGGTGGAGGGTGGAGAGGGGCTGGAGGAGTTGAGAGGCTCTGTATGTCCAGCTGGACAGAAAAAGAGAGGGAGATGCCCCCAAGCACTGACAGGTGTAGCCTTCCACTCCAGCTGAGGCCACACAGCTGACCTGGATCTCTGGATATTTGTCTTTATGTATATTTTTCTCTTGCTCCCTCTGTCGAAACATGTGCTGACTTAAACTCCAGAAGCTCCGCTCATAGCAATGTACAATACTTGCTCTCTGTTCTTCAAGTAGTCATCCAAGTTTCCCAATCAAAGAACCAATGATTTTTATGACCAGATAGGCATCCTCAGTATTGTATTAGACCCTCTTTTGTATTCAAAGCTGCCTGCGTTAACTCTGTCATAACTTCCACACTCTAGTGATAAAGGCATCGTGATATTCATCAGCAATACTTAGGTAGGCTTTGAGATTTGAACAACGCTCAGATGATGGTTATGGGTCCAGTGTAGAATATTTGGGTTCATTTCTGACCATTCCCTGTCGATGGCCGAACTGAATTTACCAGGACATCAGCAGTTTCTGAAGTACTCGGACTAGCTCACTTGACACCATCAATGATGCCATATTTAAAGCTTCTTCTGTTCCCTTTCTCTTTGTACCTTTGAAGCCATTCTTACTGGACAACTTTTTACTCTTTTGCTTTTTATAGAATGTAGTTCATCCATCCATCCATGGGACATACCTACTTTTCCATGAAGGGATCACTGGGGACTATCTCCAGCAGTTTTTGGGCTAAAGCAAA